CTGCTGTTGTGTTGGCTCTCCTGAAAACTGCATTGGATCAATAAGCTTTACAACAAGATCATAACCCCTATAAGCGCCTGTAATAACCCAGTGTAACCTCTTATTTCCACTATAATGAAAGCTGCAGGTGCATTGAGAACCACTGATCTTATAATTGGTTGTCTAATTTATCTACAGCCTCGTTTAAATGTGTGTGAAAAACATAAAAGTGGGCCAGTAATGCCTTGTTCTTTTAGCTTGTTTTAACCTTGCTACTCACACACCTTTGAAGCCTGCACCTCTACCGCTCTACCACCACCTACTGGCGACTTCAGAGCACTGCACAAGAGCAACCACCTATCAGGGTGCAGAAGATGGTGTTGCTGTATGAGGGTCAATCCATGCCACAGAGAGGGAGAAACATATGAGGGAAGTCTGTCCAACATAGAGCAGTGACAGTCGTTCCAGAGGAGGGGTCTGAAATCTGAATGGCCACCCTGTTATCTTTACCTCTTTCACTCCACACTGTCTCTCAGAGGCTGGAGCAGGCTGTGTATTAAAGGTCGATATCATATGAAACTAGATGTCCGAACGCATCCATTGGTGTCAACAATGTCGTGCTAGAATGTTGGGAAGGAGGCTAAATATCGCTCCAAAGTTACATTTTGGCAATGTTGAAACTGGCATTGGCTATTTTCAAAGGGATCCCTTGACCTCTGACCTCAAGATATCTGAATGAAAATGGGTTCTGTGTACCCACAAGTCTCCCCTCCATGCAGTTTTTTGCATGTGGTATAAATATGTTATTTTGGCCTAGTGTATATGGATATTTCTGCATACTGGGTCCATAAACAGTGTTGGAATTGCATCAATTGGGAATGACTGGAAAGCGTAGACACATACTTCATGCCACCCTTTCATAAGTCAGTGCCACCCCAGTCAAGAAACAAATTGCTTTTCTGCCTAAAACCTAACCAAACCTTAACCAGCATCGTCACATCATAAAACAGTTTTTTTTTTTTGGTTTTGTGAAGCATACCAAATGTTTATATTTGTCTGTCTGGAGGGTAATCATATGGTTCCTTTGGCTTCTAGTGTGGCACAGGAGGGTGTGGCCAAAAGTAAAAATAAAACTGTTTCCAGTTTTCTTAAAATAAGTTAACATGTAATTGAACCTCATGTTTCCTCTGGTTAGCTCATAAAAACCACAACCCAGATTACACTCAGTGGTTTTAAACCCAGTAATAATAGACTCTTTGGCCAGCGGTTAAGCTGTGAACACAGCACTGAAATATTATCACCGTTTAAGTTTGAGCAAAACTTGATTATTTACACATCCAGCAGATCCAGAGTAACATTATAATTCATTTAGAGTTGTGTTTGTGTCCACTTGATGAATTAATATCCAATTTACCTACATTTAATCACATAAAAAAGGAGAAAAGAAGCAAATCATTAAATGTAAAAAGCTGAAACAAGAGAATGTTTTATTTCTACTCAAAATTGTTACAGATTCATTTTCTGTCGTCATTTTGTTATTTTTCTTAGCTAGTTTACATTCCTTCCAGGGAAATGTGAGTCATGAACGGCACAAAACCTCTCCAGTAACGTCTATAAACTGATGAGGTTAAGAGAAAGTGGAATTAGTGCTTTTAAATCCATCATTCCTCATTCTTAATTTGCACGTTAAAAAACACGAGTAGAAACTTCAGAAATGAGAAACAAGGTGAAGTGGGAAAGTTTAAAGTGTATTGTTATAAAACAAAATATGACACAATATCTGCAATGAAAATCATGATGTATAAATATGTTACTGGAGAGCCGAAAAATCTAATGTGTGTGGAGCAATAAAGAGACTGTGATGTTCAGTTATTGAATGCATGGAACAAACATAAATGTCATATATGTATCATGTTTTTAAAAGGTTTTCTACCATTTGAAGTTTGACTGTTACTCTTTTGTCATGTCATTTTACATTATAGATAGATTATGGAAACTTGCATTAATTAAAATTTTCTTCTGCAGATTTTTGGGGAAATTTTATTGAAATTACATTTAGATGGAAACCTAAAATGTCCAAACTGATCCTGGAGTCTCACTAAGCATCACAGACATTATTGTCTCCTTTATTTAAGTAAAAGTACTAAAATCACACTGTACAAATAATCTACTACAAGTTAAACTCCTGCATCAGAACTGTTACTGGAGTAAAAGTATGTAAGTATTAGGAAAATTTATTTAAAGTAAAGAAAAATGTTATATATTATACCATTAGATAATTATTACTAATGCATTAATATAAAAGCAGGATTTTACTGTTGTAGGAGCTCATTTTTTAACTATTTTGATTGCAACGGCTTATCGATTTTTCCCTATTAATGGATTTATTGATTGTTTGGTGTGTAAATATTCAGAAAATATTTCAGAAATGCTGTCACAATTACCCAAAGCCTCGAAATTATTTAAATGAATTTGATTATTATCAAGCTGGAACCATGAAACTCAAGTTGTATAAGTAATATAATGTAGTGGAGAAGAAGTAAAGAGGCAGGAAAAGTATTAAAGTACTTTGAGTAGATCCACTCCACTTCCACTCCTGCAGCATCCTGAAGCTGATTTTGTCCCTCAGGGTTTCCTCCTCGTTTACTCTTTGTGTCATTGATCGCCTCTCATACCTCCTCCCCTCCCCCTTCCTCTCCGTAGACTCACACAGGGACAGCCTCTACGTGCTTCCCTCATGAGGTAAAGTGCGTTGTGCGTTTACTCACACGTCTGGCAATGGATCTAAAGCTCCTCAGGGTTTTCCCTTGTGTTTGAGCCTTTTAAAAACAGTTTGTCCACTGTTGTTGTCCTTATCCTCCTCATCTTCATCAGACCCAGCGGGAGCAGAGAGGGGAAAGAAGATGGGGTGCTGCTCTGCACGATGCACGCTCATCCTCCTGTGTTGTTTGCAGTTGGTAAGATGTTTTTCTCTTTCTCACATATGATGCTTCGACATAAACACATCTGCTTACTCATTTGTCTCCTGCTGATACTCAGCGAGCAACTTATTGCAGGTGAAAATGACCAAACATTGCAAATTAAAACGTTTCTAATGAATTTAAAAGCTGCAAAGACTTGTTGTTTATTATGAAAGAAAGTTCCTTTGTTGGTGGTAAAAAGCTTTTACTTTCAGATTTTCTTCTGGCAATATAAAATCTTACATTTAGACTACATTTTAACACCAAAAGCAACTTAAATACCTGTTTAACACATTCTTTGGTGTTAGATTTGATGACCTTCCTTTCACATTGTCATTCAGGTTTCTACATAAACTGCAAACTGAAGTTAAATATAAGAAATTAGAGCTGATTGGTGCATGTATTGGTTATTAGTTGATCAACAGAAAATTACTCAGCAACAGTTACACACAGTCTGTGATTGTAAGAAGAAAAGTTATTATTTTTTTAGGTAACAAAGCCAAATAATGTGATGGTTCCAGCTTCTCAAGTGTGAATTTTTCCAGGTTTTCTTGATGTTCGGTCAAAATAAACTGAATATCTTTGTGTTTTAGACTGTTTGTCAAAGCAAACAAGCAATTTGTGCACATCACAATGGGCTCTGGTGAATTATGACGGGCATTTTTTTTACTACTTTCTGGCATTTTTTTGGCCAAACAATCGTAAAAAAAGTCAATACTGAAAAGAATTGTTAGCTGCAGGCCAATTAAAAGTATTATTTCTGTGAACCGTGTTAATAAGTAAGCTCATTGTAGTTTAGGAGAAATTATAAAAAAGCAGTGAGCGTCCACCAGTGCAACCACCACAATGAAGGGCTGCACCCACTTTGTCCTCCTCCTGGATGTTTCCCA